AACCTGTACTGTCAGTCTCTCTCTCCCAGTTAAGATCACCATCAAAGAATTAACACATCCCCACTTATTTCTTTTCAGTAAAATCATATTCTCTCTTCTTTATTTTATTATTGTTATTTTCGAAACTGAATCATTAACATTAGCTAGGCAAATATACGCATTCAGGGCTGAGATTTGGCCAACTTCCTGCATAATTTATCATACATGTCCCATGAAATTAATAGCACCGAAAAAATGCATAGAGCCAGGGCATTGCATGTGACGAGTAGGGAAAAAAACCAAAATTCATGTAGCATGGAACGGAAAGATTGTTCTAATTGGAGCCATTAGAGATGGCATCAACCATTAAGAAATTAACTATATCTTCATATACCATCACCTTTCACCATTCCTATGATTCCCAATAACCTCGAAAATGGATCTTCACATTGGATCCATTGTGGAAAAAGAAAAGGAAAAATACGTGGTACTTAAGCTCATCATAGTTATTATTAGAAACTACACCATCAAGCCACTAGCAATAGCATGATTTGTATCAAGATGAGTAGTTCCATACACAGGAAGCTCGTCCGAATACCTACGATCTTTTCCGATTACTGCAAGATGATCAAGCTCGAATAAATCCGAACTCGAATAACTTGCAGCATCATCATCCTCGTCCTCATCTTCATCGTCATCCTCGAAACGATCATTGTACTTTCCGCCAACACCGATCTTAATAACATCATTTTTCTTCTTATTTTGATGATAATCTTTGAAGAACACTCTCGCCACTTCCTCAATTCTCCTACTCTTCTCCACTACTTGGTACTTAAGCTCATCATCTATTTTTCTTGATGGTGAGTTCCCAATTTTCCATGCTGTTGGCAGAGAAACAGACTTTAGACTTGATTCTTCCACATCATATAATGATTTGTGTCCGACTGGCCTGCAATCTTCATCAACAATTACGCTCACAGGGTAAAATCTGACACTTCTTTTAACCCCATTGCGTAATTTCTCCCTTGTCGATGGCGAATGCTTGCTCAAACAGGATCTTGAGAACGATGAAGCAGAAGAGCAGGTTGATGCTTGCCCTGAGTTAAGTTTCCTTTCTTCATCAAAGGTTCCAATGGTAGGTGAATTCTTTGATTTCTTTGTGTTCCCTGTGGTGAAGAGGGAATTAAGGAAATTTGCGAGCTTGCTACCCGGTGAAATTGGCTGTTTCACCTTCTTTAGATTGCGGCAAGTCTTTAAGGCTCTTGATTCGGGCTTGATTAAGCTCTCTTCAAACCTTGGTGTCTGTTCTGAAGCAGAATTGTAGTGGTAATCATCGAACATAAGCGCTTCCCTCTGTTCATAAAATAGAATCCTCTCTGTTTTTCCTGACCGGGCCGACGCGCTTGTCCTGACTGGCTTAGGCCTTGGTGGATTCAAAGAAGAAGCCCTTGAGAATCCACCATACATGGATTCTGTATCAGAAGATGAGAACCCACCAGAGCTAGAATCCGAAGAGGTTGAAGTGGAGCTCAAAAACAGGACATCTTGGTCAAGATCATGATCAAGCTGTGATTTTCTCTCGAATTCTTTCAGGTTTTGCCTCCTCTGTTGAGTGATGAGCTTTTGACTCACCTTCTGTTCCATCCATTTTTCGATCAAACAAGCTCGTTGAAGAGCTGACATCCCTTCTTCTCGTTCAATCTTAATCCCACTAGTATCTTTGTTCTGTTTCCTCGGCATTGTTTCTCGATAGAATTTCAACTCCTGATGTTTTTGTTCACCATCATCAAAAGATCGGTAGATTTCATCCAGAAGAGATGAAGAGAAAGATGGGTTCTTGATATCATGCTTGTTGTATCTTTCCTCCATTGTTTTCTCCCACCTACGCATGCTTTCTACGTTGGAAACGAGTACATCAAGGAGAGATAAGGCTTAGGGAAAATGTTTCACTTTTGTTTGGGTTTTGACAGAGACTCAAAATCTGCAATACCGACACAAAATAGGAGTAAATAGTCATGAAAAAAGAAGTACATTAGAGAGATAGGAACATTATTTAAAACACAAGCAAGTGTGCTCTCCCCCCCCCCCCCCCCCCCCTCTCTCTCCCTCTCTCTCTCTCTCTTCTTATAATTCATGGATCATGGTTAATGGAGTTTTGCAAGCACAAGAGGCTTATATTATGACGTGTGTGTGTGTTTAGCTTGACTGAGACAGGAAAAAAATGAGGAAGAAAGGAAGGAGGTTTGCACGCCTTGAAGATGAAGAGAATGGGAACAGAAGCAAGGGACTTTATAAAGCGATGCTTCCACGCGCGTGTCCATCCTAATTGCAGCCCTTGCCAGCTTGGAATTTTGCTTACTTGGCACTGATTCTTTGACCAGTTTATTATCCCCAAACTACCCCTACTTTAATGCTGCATACCTTGAATGATCACCATCTAAATTTGAATTTCAAGCCGTTGATCTTGTTGAAGTAAAGATGCATGCATGGGTGATTGTAGTCTGTGGTGATCAGATGAGAGATTTTTTTTTTGTGTGTGTGTTTAATGGTGGATCCTTGTGTGGTGAAGGTGGAGGAATCTATATTTTGGTGAGTTATTTATTTCTCTTAAAGGTTTGGTGCGAGGGAAATGCTATTATTAATTAATTAATTTTAATATGTAAGAGGCATTTGAAGCAAGTATTAATGGAATAATTCATTTGAAAATAAGATGTAATAAAAAAAGTTCAAGGCAGATGGCCTGATACGATTGTAAATACTACTATTCTATTATATAAATAGAAAAGCAGGAGGAGAAGGTAATATATAAAGAAACAATCAAGGAATTCATAAAAAAATTGTTTTTCAAAATATTATTTAAGGTAATAATTACTTTTTAAAATATTTTTTTTAGAAGTATATCAAAATAATATATTTTTTATGTTTTAATTTTTTTTAATATTAATATATTAAAATAATATAAAAACAAAAAAAATTCATAGAAGAAAAATAAAAAATTATCGTACTTGGGTACCATGGTAAAAAAACAGTATTTTGAATTTAAAACAGGCCCTCTTACCATAAAAATAAAAAAGGTATCTATCTATCTATTTATTCGATGGCCTTTAATCATGGAAAACAATCTTTTAACCTAGCTTTTAACCATGGGTAATTAAACTCTGCAGCCGGAGCCGGAGGTCTTTAATCATGCAAATTTAACCTAAGAGCCTCATGCGAGCGCTGAATTTAATAACGGTCCTCTCGCACCTCCTCAAGTTTAAAACACGTTAGGCAATATTGGACTTACTTTGCTGATTCAAGGTTCCCGGCATGCTGCATCATTTTTCCAAGATAATAAATAAATAATAGGACTAGCCCTCATTTTACATATCTTTCCTTTTAACTGTTATATAATATATGATTTTGTAAAATTAACAGATACAACATTCTAATTTTCCCATAAACGGAAGGCATGCATGCATATCACCCATGCTTCTCTTTGTTTTCTAAAACGGCGTAGGATTGATTTATATTTGGTCAAAATTTTAGAAAAATAATTCTTGTTGAGATTTTAGGTTTAGCATCCGTGTTTAGTGAAAGTTTTAATGGAAACCACTAATTTTGTTTATAATTAATTAATTTCATTTAAGTTTTTCTAATTCATATAATATTTAATATTAATTCAGAAGATCTTTGTAAAAGTACAATTAAACATATGTCATCCTGAAAAACTCAGTTGAGAAAGTTGTTAAATACAGACATGTATATGCATGATGAATAGTAACCACAGGAAACAAAGAAAATCCATAGATAGATATAGTCCTTTTAACTACTTTGGAAAAGGGAAGTAAAATGTCTCCAGAGCGACCCGACATCGTTTCATGTTACGATACAAAATAAGGGTCATTTATGATATGAGATCTTCTAGAGTCTAAGCAAAGAAATGGTTACGTGGATGAAAGATAAAATCAAGCAAAGATATTCTTCTAGTATTTGACCTATAGCTATCTGCATTGCATATATTAATCATAGGAATCTCTCGTTATAGTGGTCACAAGAAAAAAAAAGAGTAAAAAAATAGACAAATAATTAGAATTCTCATCCTTGAAAAATTGATGCCCTTTTGATGACGTTGGTAGCGCCCACAATAAAGTAATCACATAAGAACATAACATTCCAATTATCAAACACAAGGGATTAAATTCTTGATTTTTACCATCCTTTTAACATGGGATAAAATATCAAACCTAATGGAATTGAACATGAACTACATACAAAATAAAACTATCATTGTCCAACCATCTTTTAGGGATTTTTATTTATTTATGTAGATACATAATATAGTATAGCACTAGATGGCATGCCCACGAGCTTATAGAGTAAATGTGCTTGATGGTATTATAATTATAAATTAATGCTAGATAAGTAATAGAAATTGAAAGTGAGATAGAGCAAATATTCTATGAGAAAAAAAATTATGTTGGTAATAAAAAACTTGAAGACTCAATAGCTACAATTCATCATGTTTTGTGAGGAAATCTATATTGTTTTCCTCACATGATTTAGCTTTATTTATAAAAAAAAGTTATAAAGTTAAATTCTCAACCATCTCAAAATTAAAAAAATAAAATTGATAAAAATAATTTAAAAAAAAATTATAACTAAAAAAATTGATATGGAGAAACATTGTAACAATCCACAGTATTTTGTCAGGAAAGCTATAACGC